TGATTTGGTGAGTGAATATCAACAATATCAAGATGCAACAGCTGAAGGTGAGTTTTTATATTTTGTATTGTTATACTATAAATCATATTGTGTGTTTTTAATATTGTAGAAGAAGGTGAAGGAATGGAAGGTGAAGAAGAAGAACATGCTTAAACAGTGGAAATAATCGACGTTAAAATAAAAAAAAAACTAATCTACATATCTTTTTGGGCAATATTCATAATTCTACCTGTTTGTTCATCTATTCTCTTCTTATTACTAGTTCTCTCATTGTTTGTTATGTATACGTGATTTGATATCTTAATCTACATTTTTTTCTCTTGATCAAATTGTCTTTTTTACTCGCCACTTATATCCAAAGGAATAAAAATAAATGATAAACCTAGCAGAAATTTTTGTATCATATATATCCTATTCCAGATGTTGGAGTAGAAAACATAATGAACTCCAAAAGTTTTTTGGTATTATTATTATTATTGATTATTTTGCAAGTGGAATGTTTTGAAGAAGGTAAGTTTATTTTAGCTGCTATTTGTGTCGTTTCCATAAACTTACCTAATTCAGACCGAAAGGAGAAGATTACACTGTTAGAAAATTAATTTTAACAGTAGATAGCAAGACTGAGTTATCTGTTATAAATATATATTAATTTTTATTTTAGTTGATAATTATATTTTACTGATTGCCCCACCGGAACGTGGTCATTTAAATCCAATTCTTGAATTAGCTAAACAATTAACATTTAATGGAACTAATAAGGATACTGAAATACTTGTTAGTGTACCATCTTTTGCAGATGTTAATGTTTCTTCATGGGTAACTGACGAAGGTCTTAATTATCTTGATGGCGGTATTGCACATGATGTTACTCTTGATGATATGCATCAATTCTCATTAATGGATTCACAACATATAACAAATTATCTCACATTTATATCTCGTATGGCTCATCTTTTTCATAGTTTTAATCGCGTCGCTTATGAAACACTTCTTCCTGTTCTTCGCAAAAAACGCAGTAAACCTCGTGTAATTATTTTCGATTTAAATATGCTATGGGCAATTGACTTAGCTGAACAGCTTGGTTCAATACCAGCTATTGTTGTCTGTCCATTTCTGATTGATGCACTCAATTTACCAAGTATGACACCACAGTGGCATACACCATCTTATATTGTTCCTTATTCACCATCAAATTTTGTTGGTCGTATACAATTATTATTCTATCGTTTAATAATTTTACCTTATCAAAGGCATTTTATATTTTCTCGTATTTATCAACGAAATTTTAATTATGAATATTTAATTAAAAAACATTATCTTAGTGTATTTGTTAGTACTGCACCACCCTTTGAAATTCCACGTTCAACTATTAATCCAGCTATTCATTTCTTAGGACCATTCGTTTATCAACATCGTTTACAACCAATTAATGACAATTTACTTTTATGGCTTAATGATATTGTTCAACAAAATGATACATTGATTTACATTAGTTTAGGTTCAATTGGTGTTCTTACTGAAGAACAATCGAATAAACTTATTTATGCATTTATGAAATTAATAGAAACAAAACATTCATCTCAAATACGTGTTCTATGGGCTCGTGGTAATACATTAAAAAGTAATGATAGTCGTCTTCGTCTAGAAGGTTTTGTACCACAAAAAACAATCTTATCACATTCCGCTATGCAACAAGAACGTTCACTTTATATAAATCATTGTGGTATGAGTTCTATGCATGAATCTATTGTATTTGGTATTCCACAAATTGCATTTCCACTTTTTCTCGATCAACATCAAGTAGCTAAACGTAGTGTACAATTACGTATGGGTTTATATATTGATAAAAATAATTTTACATCGAATGAATTAATTGAAAAAATTCTTCTAATTTTAAATAATCCACAAATCTATCGACGTAATACACAACAAGTTGCAGATTCATTTCGTATATATGGTGATGGTTTAAAACGTGCTCAAAATATAATTGAATATATGAGTAAATATGGCCGTGATATGCAAAAACAAATTTTATCATATGATAATCATATGAATTGGTTTGAAAAAAATTCCGTGGACATTCTTCTTTGTTTTCTTTCATTAGTTTTCATTTTATTTATACTCATAAGATTAATATGGAAAAAACTGTTATTATTACGAAAGAAAAAAAAAGAATAAATAAATAATGTGTAGTTCGATATGAGGTCAAAGTTATTTATATCATCACATGTGTTAATGATTAGTTAAGAAGATTAATTGAGAAATGACGATATTCTTCAGTAAAATTTAAGAATAGATATTTTCTTATGTAACTTTATTACCTTTTGACAGTATATGGTTTGTGGCGTCATCTGTTCACGGTTTTAAATGACAACAAATATATTTTAAATATCCGTTTTTTACTTTTGTTACAATAGTATTTGAAAAGTTTCCTTAACTTGAGATTTAACATCGAAAACATATAGAGAATTATATCTGTAACTAGGTTAATCCTCTTCTGAATTATGATCTATTAATGGTGATACGCCTTATATTTTTTATATTCTTATGGATAATCGATAAATTATATAAGAAAAAGAAATAAGAATATGGCTCAAAGCAATATAGATACTCCAGCAAATGTCGATAACGAACTAATTCTAGTCAAAGATCGTTATAAACAAATCAAAGTATTAGGTCGTGGCAGTTATGGTGAAGTGTGGCTTGTTTCACCACTTGAATCAAGTACTGGTAGTAAAAGTAAACCTCGTCGATGTGTTCTTAAACGTGTTAGTATTGCACGTTCAAATAATGAAAAAAATGAACTTGCTGCTGCTGAACGTGAAGCACAATTACTTTCTTCACTCAAACATCCAAATATCGTTTCATATATTGAATCATTTCGTTCCCGTGATCATCATTTAAATATTGTTATGGCTTTTTGTGAAGGTGGAGATTTGTATACAAAAATAAAATATCGTAAAAAACAATTATTAAATGAAGAACAAATTATTGAATGGTTTATACAAATAACACTTGCTTTACAATATATGCATGAAAGATCAATATTACATCGAGATCTTAAAACACAAAATATTTTTTTAACGAAACAAGAAATTGTTAAAGTTGGTGACTTAGGTATTGCCAAAATATTAGATAATAATGGAGCTGATTTAGCGACAACTGTGATTGGTACACCGTATGTATTCTTTTTTTAAATAATATTATTATGTTTTTATTTTTTCTCAGTTATTATATGAGTCCAGAAATATTTTCTAATCAACCATACGGTCAAAAATCTGATATTTGGGCACTTGGTTGTTGTGTTTATGAAATGGCAACATTAGAACATGCATTTAAAGCCGGTGATATTAGTTCACTTGTATTAAAAGTTGTACGAGGTCAAACACCACCACTACCATCAGCAAATGTTTATAGTCAACAATTAATTGAATTAATCAATATTATGTTAGATAAAGATGCAGAAAATCGACCAGCTGCTAAACAAATTTTACAACATCCATATATAAAACAGCATATTGCTAGATTATATAAGAAGACACTAGAACGATGTCATACAAATATAACAACGCCGGTACAGGGTAAAACTTATCTTTAGTTGAGAAAAAAATATTTTTTTAGAAATAATATTGAACTATATCAAGATGGTGTTTTTATAAGAGAATTCGATAACACTATTCTTTATACATGTCTCTATGAAAAAAATTATATAGTTCGATATAAAAATCAATCTGCTTAAAATTGTTTGTTTTATTGCGATTATTTTCATGTTTAAAAATATTTGTATTTCAAATAATAGAAAAATTCTATTTCTATACTTAGCCTGTTGAATCATCATTAGTTGTTCAATCATCGAAAGATTCGGATCAGTCTTCAATGCCTCCAGTACCTAAGCCACGTGCTTCACATCTAATATCATCTGAAGAAAGTGTCAACGAAAAACCTAAATCACCCATTCCACCATTAAGTCAATCACGAGCCCGACGTCTTAAACAGAAAGCAGTACTTCCATATGATGAAACACCTGAATCTCCTTCGCCATCTATTAATGTTACTCAAGAAGATGAAGATGAAGAAAAACAACAACAATCAAATATAATTAATAATCGTTTTATAGCAAAAATACGTGAAAATGATACACTTGCACGTTTTAAACGACAGTCATCATCACCTACTCATGCAAATCAAAATGATGGTAGTATTTCGTTTTCTCGATCTAAATATTTTATATTTCTATTGATTATTTTCAGATAATAATATATCTCATGCTAATGCAAGTGCTCGTCAACGGCGACGGGATCAACGTTTTCACTCGACAACAAGTCCCATAGAAGAAGATAGTACTCAGCCAAAAACTCCACCTGTATATGATCGTTCTATATCTAATGATAGTCAAATAGATGTTGTTGAACAAGAACGTAAAGCTGAAAAGGATATCAATGATTTCTTACATCAACTTGATGCGACTTTACGTCAACCGGTATCATCATCAGTATCATCAACGTTAACAGAAATTCCTTCAATGTTTGATCGTACAATGATGGCAACAAATAAATTAGAAGAACGACGTGATGCACTAAGAGATTATTGTTTAAAAGAAATATCATCACAGCAATTAAAACAAGTTCTCGATATTTTAGATCATGTTGATAATGTTGAATTCAAACAACGAATGATTGAAATTTTAGGAGAAGATATCTATGAAAAATATTGTCCACAAATTCAAATTTTAAAATTTTACGAAGATTCTTTATTTACTCGACAATAATCATTTCAATATTGTATTTATTTTGTTTTGTAATCATGATAAATATATTTACGATTGTTAATATTAAATACAATCTTTATTTTTCTTAGAAATTGCCATTATAATGCAATCGAAGTTTTCTATATGATATAACTACATGTTGTTTTTGGTGATCGTATATTTATATCACATTGATGTTTGTCTTACACAGTTTTGTATTGACTTAATGATATCAGCAATACATATTATTAATCTTTATTTAGAAATAAAACGACTTTGAAAATAAAAGATCAATGATTCAATATTTTAGTTTGATTGTTTTCTTCATATAAGTTTAAATGAATAAATATGAACCAATTTTACTTTAACTAGGAAAAATTTCTTTCATATATGATATATGAATATCAATAAGGAGGGTGTGGGTATGGCTATGTATGGTCTGTTCTGATTCTACTCACTCTACATTGATACCCACACCTATCCACACCCTCGTCGATTCTCACACCCATCCCTAGACCCAGATCCACATCCACATCCACACACACTCCTGGATTTATGTCCTATATTGAATGAAAAATAAAAGAAAGTCTAAATTAGTACATGTACGTATAGAATTTTGTTAATATTTTCATGAAGCGTAAGAAGCAGTCAATTATCAAAAGTTCATTTTGCTCGCTGTTGTAGTTGTCTTGCTTGTTGTGGATTTTTCACCTTAGGTTTGAACATCCATTTGAAGTATTTTCTTCCAATAACTGTCTCACCAAACTCCTTCTTGTAGCCACTTGAAGGCAAAACGAAAAGGACAAATCCAAGTGTTTGTGGGACATAGGAGAGTAAATAAGCGACAAGAAGAGCATGTTTCTGCCAAACATTCAACTGCGTGCAAGCTAGGCTAAAGGAAATAATGATTTGAGGCAAAGCGGATAAGACGATAATAGCCGGTATCAGATAGAGTTCTTTGTGCATAGTGAACTGTTTCTTCAATACTTGTCCAAATGTTGTCTTCTCGCTAGTTGCTTTTGTTCGTCTTCGAGCAATTTGTATAATTAAGATTGTGATTGCTATCGCTTGAATCAAGAATGGGATGATGTAGTGCAAAAGTGTGTTCACTCGATCGTAATTAGCCAAAATGCTCTGTTGAAAATTAGTTACACAGACTAAGGTAGATGAATTCGGCTGACGAATGATATCATAAGCGAGAATCTCGTGAGTGTGCAGACCAAACAGAGCAAGAATAGTGACTATACTTATATAGATACCAACTGAAGGATTTTTGACAGTGGTGCTCGTGGGAAACCAGACCATGAAAAGACGATTAATGGTTATCCAACTTGTTAGCCAGTAGGATGAGCGAGTGATGGTAGACAGCATAAAACTAACGATTTTGCATGATGTAGCAGTTGTCCATCCCAATGTACCAAACAGAACGTGGACGAACTTGAAAAAAAGTCCGAGGAGAGCACATTGATTGAGGATACTGAGAACAAATAAATAGTTACCAACTCTGACTTTGCGTGGCTCTTTTCGTATGAAAGTGAGAAGGGAGCACAAATTATTAAGAAGACCAATAGTGAAAATAAGAAAGGTCAGTATAATGTAGATTAGTTGAGTTGTTTTAGACTGCGAGTTAAGAAGAGAGTCGAGTGTAAATCCAAAAGCTCGCATACTAAATTCGCACCGACGTCCTTGATGGCAGTCTGGACATAAGCAGATGAAGTCTTGAGAATTTGTTGGATCTCCCTTGATACATTTTCCACCTGATAAACAAAAGTCACAGCGGTCTATTGCGGGATCATATGTGAAACACATGGCGCGAACGCCATCTGCTAGGCAAAGACAAAAAGAAGTGCTGTGATAGAAACACAAGCGATATTTATCATTAAGGCAAATATGATGATATATGAAGAGGGCAGGTACTTTTGAAATCTCGTCTGAAACCAGAAAGAATGTGTGACTGAAAATGTTGTTCAAAATGCAAATAACTTACCTCTAGGCAGTAGTGATATGGCATTTGGACAAAATCGAGGCGTTGAAGTGAGGTTGATAAGTGTTCTATTCTCTTGAACGTAGAGCACGTAGTATTGAGGGTCTGAGAAACCTTCGTAAGTTTTCAGTAGACAAAGAAACGGAGCCTTTTCTTGGTCATGATAATAACGAATTGTTAGCGGCAGTCCAGTAGTGATCATCTGATGTTGTAATTTTATTATCGATCCTGAAAGCTGGTCAAAGTCGTAGAACTGAACGACACTAACACTTGGTGCTAAAGTCATGTTCACATGAATTGCAACTGCGACTTTCTCATATTGACATCGATCACCATAGAACTGCTTTGAGCATTGACAAACGATTGGTTTGTCACCACTTGGGTCGTATGTTAAATGACAAGTTCCATTCAAGCCGCAAGGATCTGATTCGCATGCTTCATTTCGTATATGACAACTCGGACCAAAATGATCGAGAGAACATATGCATAATGGATTATCTGGATTTTTAATGAGACCACGTTGATCAGGTCGACAAATGGAATCTGGTGAACAATATGAAGAGCATTTTTGTTCATATACAGTGCAGTTCACATCTGTGTAACCTGATAAACACGAACAATAGAACTTTCCTTCTTCGTTTAGAATAGGTTTACAGATAGAATTTGCACTACATGGCTTTTGAGCGCATGGATCGATCGTAGAATTTCCAAACCAAGACGGAAATTTCAACACCGTTGCGAGACGAAAGGCCGGAAGGTAATCAAAGTAGATTATGTATCGAAATGATCCTAACTCGATTGTGTCATTACTTTGGAGCGCATAAACATCAAAATGTACCCAATAAGGATGATCGTTAATAACATCCGTACTGTTCAAGTATCGCCACTGTTTATGCTCTAACATTGTTTCTGAACGAGAATAGAGCAGATAAAAACGTTGTTTGACATAATTTGTTGTTTCTAATATTGGATTTACATAGAAAATATGATGATCGATATATTTTGTTTGACGAAACACTAAGCTTGCAACAATCTTGAATAGACTTGAAGAAAGAAGCAGTGTAGGAGTGAGAGTACTGAGATCGAGATGCGTAATTATAGTAAGACGGTCTGCGAAAAATTGGCAACGACGACCGTAGTAGGCAGGTGGACAAAAACACGACACGTTGGTCTCAAAGCCTATAGCGATGCCTCGATTGCAGCTAAATAACTGCCAATCAAGTGTAGCATCTTGTTTTTGTCGATATTCGCGCGTATTAAGCATTGTAGTAAGCCGATATTTAGTTTCTGGAACTGCCGATATTGATTTTTTATATTGTTGAATTGTGGGAATAACTGTCGGAAACGTTGGTAGTGGGAAGATGGTTGTCCTATGTTTACCTAGTCGATAGAATGCTCTACGGTGGATATTATTAATGTATGGATGACACCAATATTCATCTTCACCATGCAAACATTGCTTGATCCCATCGCATCGTGCATTTTTGACACACACCTCATTCAGACAAATCACATCGTTCTTATCAGAACACGTTGCATTCTTGCTTTTGTACGAACAGAGTAATGAATTCGAACATGGTTCATTAGTTTCACAAGCGATCGGATTATGAGTGCAAGAATTATCACATCGCAGTGTGTACCCGAGCATATGGCCATTACAATCTTCTGCTGTATTTTTTTCGTCCACAGCTCCGTAGCAATCGACAATTCCGTCGCCGATCTGATTGAGATTGATGCATGGTCGATAAGTATAAATATCCAATGGGTCGGGAACTGACGCTAAATAACACGGATACTCTATTGACAAATTGCACAAATCCGAGAAAGGCATCTTCGAGTGGGAGTATCTACGAAAACATTCTTGCTTTTGTTTATCCAAATCTGGTAGATGTTGGTTATGCAAAGACCATTGTTCGATCAAAACGATCGCTTCTTCGTCGGATCCATCACTACAATCCCATTCTCCATCACATATCCACGTCTGACTGATACATTGACCAGATAGGCATTTGTACTGTCTATTATCGCAAATTCGTTCTTGACAAAAATCTCTATTTTTGCCCAAGTGCGATGGGTAATTCCAGGAACTGCTACAATAATCATCGTGTTGAAGGACTAACACATTCTGTATAGGATCGTTTGCTGTATCGATCCTTAATGTTGAATTCGGATTAGATGAATTGCCAATATAGTATCTTAGGAAAAGACATCCACTATCATCTTCTCTTTCACACGAAATTTCTTCTACTTTTTTAATGCTACCCACGACAAAGATGTCATTTTTGTTTTTACAGTTGGAGTCTGTTCTGGCAAAGTTTGATATAGGTAAACAATTCATTTCTTCAACTGAACATTGAAAGCGATGTTTCCGAAGGTTGAAACAATAATTTGTTTGTTTAACTACTTGAACGTCCTCGTCTTTCGCATCTCCACAATCTGGGCGGCCATCGGTAATACGATATTGCGAGATGCACTCGCGTGTAAGTGTACAGATATCATAAAACCCGTACGAACGGTTGTTAAAAGTTCGTGTATCATTCCAACAATTCACTGGATACTGAAGGGCCGACTCGGTTTCCGTTAATACATCGGGCGAATGAAAAGCTGGACAGAAAAGAGGTTCACTATTGCGCAAAATCACTAGTTCGAGTCCGTACTCCTGCCACAAAGGATTTTTTGATACGATACGGTATCCCCGACATTTGATGCTTCCATTCATTATGAACGCGTCTGGGGTTGGATCTGTCCATGTTCGATTCCAATGGTAATAATGACCTAACCATGGAACAATCATCCCCTTGGTGGGATATGGATATATTATATCTATTTCACAGAAGAATTGCATCAGTTTGGTGCAATTGATTCCATTACATGGGCAACTAGACTCTAAACCACCAGATAGTGCACATCGAATCAAGTAAATACATTTGTCATTGTCTGACATATTTACCATCCCCATATTCATCAATGTATCATTATATTTACCATCTGTACTGAACCAGCAAAGTCCATCGGGCTTCGTCCATAGTTTGAAGGACGGGTTTGAACTGCTTTCACACATGTGATTGTATTCGCGCATAGTGTTACATGGCAAATCACGTGGCAGAAATGTTTGATATAAATGTCGATTATAAAAAAAAATGCACTGTCCATCGCCACACGACCATTGATCGCTATCACATATATGTTCATCGCATTCGATAAACTGCGCATTAGTGGAGCAACTGAAGTCATTCTTGGATTGCTCATCGCTCCAATCCATACAATCAGGAACTCCTAGAACGAATGACCGTCAAATTAGCCAAAAATGAAAGAATTACAGTAGTTCTTATTTTCATCATCACCCTTACTCTAACCTGTTAGTTTTCTATAATGTAGGTCATCAGTATATATACGGCTGATGAATCAGCTTTATGTCTCTTTTATGTATGAAAAGAAGATAAATAACTGTTTAAAACTAGAAATTTTCGCTCTAGCAATCGAGTTTCTTCAACAAAATCTTTTATCTTTGTTTCCACAAGTGATCTCAATTGTTCATGTGACAACTTCTATGATATTAATTAGTGTTAGAAATACCCGTGTATTGTATGTTGGATATATTTCAAATATATTTATATGCATTGTATCCTAGTTCTTTCCAATTCTCTCATCGAGTTATACATGTACATGTTTGTACCACCTTTGTTTCTGTTATTTTTTTCAATTGTTTTCATTTCTCCTCTGCACATATACAAGTAAATCGAACTCATTCACACAAGCACTGAGTTAACATGAATATTGTGACATTTTTCAAACTTATGTACTTACCATCAAGCCAGTACTCTTCATCGATACACATACCATTCAGGCAACGATATTCATCAGACTCGCATTCGTTGAATTCCAGCTTGTCACAATTTTCTTCATCATAGCCATCCATACAATTTTGTTGGCCATCACATATGTTGCGCCAGTCTAAGCAAAGCATTCCATAATTGCAAATTAATAGTGTTTGATAGCACCATATCGATCCATATAATTGATGACCTCGAAGATCGTTTTTATATTGGAATGTTTTGACAATAACTTCCTTGAATGAGTTATAATTGAAAAGCAGCTTGAATTCGCAGTTTTTTCCAAATGATCCATCAACCGTACAATTGCATAAGAACCCATCGGATACATCCATTATCGATTGATTGTAGAAAACACGACCATATTCATCGGCTTTCTCGACACCAGAACTCCACGAAAGTACTTGCCATGGAGTGATGTTGTGTTCGAGTAGTTCTTTGTAAGTCCATTTCTTTCCTCCATTTTGGCATTCAGACAAAGATGATTGCCATTGTAAACTGAAGCCTAGTCTTGCACAAAACTCCACTGTTTGATTATCAACGTAGTAAATACAATGGATAGCCTCCATGCCTAAACTATTCTCCGTGTTGTACACGAGAATAAGACCAGTATTTTTGACGATAAGCAAGACAATAAATATGGTAACGCTCAGAATCATCGCCATTTACATCAACTCGACAATCATGACTGAATGGAGATTAACCAAACCTATGTAGTAAAGAATCACTGTCGATTTTATTTGACGTTTTCTTTTTCTTTTTTCTCTTCTTCAAATAATGAACACAGTCGGATTTTTTCTTCTATTACTCGCTGCAATGATCACGTCAAAATTAAAATATTGATTACCAAACAGCAACTATCACGTCCGTCGTTTCATGATCATTCAAACACGTTCATTTCTTTGCCATCACGATTAGTATATAAAAATCATCCTGTCACGATCAGAATACCAATGTAATAAAGAGAAATCACGTAGATCTGCCGAAGGAACCTCCCTAGGCTTCTGTCTAGTCTTGGGTGTAGATGTGGGTGGGTGAACTTGGGTGGATGGGTGTGAATGTGGGTGAGCTTGGGTGTGGGTGTGGATGTGAGTATGGGTATGGGTGTGAGTAAGTGAGCTTGGGTGGATGGGTGTGGGTGTGTGTGGGTGAGCTTGGGTAGATGGGTGTAGGTGTGCGTCTATGATTGATCTGATCAAGCAGATACTCAGCGACACAGCCACACCCTATACAAACACTCATAAGGAAGACTAGTTTCAGAAGTCGAATGGAACCAGTTCAGCTGTCGCTCAGTCAACTGGCAAGAGCTTCTATGCAATGGCTTGACTGTTCTTTAAAAATATCGAAGACTACATTATAATTATTCACAAAAACAACTCTGAATGTTGTACTATTCATTGTTCGGAAAAAAACTGGAAGATGAAGTAATTTTGTATGTTCATCTTCAAAATGTGAAAATTATTACAATATTATATGACCAATATTAAAAAATATGACACGGGTTCCAAAACAAACTATTCTTTACATGAAATTATATTTGATGTGTATTATTTTTATTAGTAAAAAGTTCAAATAAAAGTACTGTCTAATGTTAACAGGTAGATAGCGCTAAAAATATCATTTAATTATATCGACGAATCCTATTATATTTCGTCCCGAAATTTGATTCTTGTTGTGTAAAATCAAATAATATATTCAATAAAATGTATGTCGAATACAATTATTACTTGTCATCGTATTTGTTGTTTTCGAAAGCCAAAGCCACGTCCTACTACAACAACAATAATCAACAATGGATCTTCATCATCACCAAAAGATAAAAAAGTGTCGAATAATCAATTAATGAACAAAATCATGTCAACATCAAATTTTAAAGATGAAATTCAAAGCGATATTGATTTAGATCGTTTAACAAAGCAATATCTCGAAACAATAAATGAGTATCGTTCTCAACTAGGATTTCTATCACTTGAACTTTCTTCGGAACTTACTAATCGAGCACTTGATCGAGCGACACAATTATCAGTTCAAAATTATATACAAAACACCACTCAATTTGATCTTATTTATAATAGTGAACCTATCGGAGAAACGTATGAAAAATTCAAACAATATTTTGAGTATGTCTTTTATTCGATAGAGTCATGTCTTGTGAAGCACCTGTGAATGATGGTTCAGATATTGCTAGATTAATACATGATGAACTTATTGATGATTTTAAATATGGTCAATCGTCGAAAGTAAAGAAATGATGGATAGATCTACTGATTTTTTGTTTTTTCAGATACGTTACACACCAATATTAATTCCCGATTGTAAATATCTTGGCGTTGGTCTAGTTCGTAATGAAGAAAAAACAAAAGATTTTATTGTTATTTATTATTATCCAGTCAAGGAAAATGAAGATTATATTACAAAATAGCTGATGTAAATCGTTGTACATAGAAATCAAATAGTTGAGATATAGAATCATTTGTCTTCTTAAATATCTGTCGTAAACATTGAAGTAAAGTTATATGTACAAGATGATATGAATAAGAAGCTGAATTTATTTTTGATTTCATTGTTATATGACTTAAATCATAAAGAGACCAATTCGAAATATTTGGATGAATATAATATGGAAGCATATGTTGTAATGAAATAATTATTTGATTTATTAATTCAGATAAATATGGTTGATAATCAATTGTATTAGCATCGATGATACCAATTAAAGCATAAAGACATCCATTAAGAACAAAAAGACCTTTAGTTGCTGATTCTAATGGATATTCTTCAAGCCAAAGAAAACGATTTTTAAAATAAGCTCGAGTCAGATTTGATGACCATAAAGGTTAAATAGCTCGACGAATAGCTAATAAATGTTCCTTATTATTTGTTAGTGAATAGAGACGAACGAGTAATGATGCAGCTTGACCTGAATTTAGAAGAAAAATAGTAGTTAATAGTTTTTATACCAACAAAATTAACCTTGTGCCATTGCTGAACACCACGGATTTCGTAAATGATAGTGAGTATGATGACCATAATTTCGTTGAACATGAATAAACCAACAACCTGTTTGTAAATCTTGATTATTTAATAACCATCGTGTTGCTGAATAAAAAGCTTGTTGATCATACAAAGTTTGATTACCAATAATTAATTGATCAACACCAGATTGTGTATCACCACAAATTTGAATTTTGATGAAATCACGTCTGAAAACAAGTGTTTTTCTCATGAGTTTTTCTATGTCAATTAGCATATATCGATTGACTTGACGAGGAGAACCCTTAAGTGGAATAATTCTCTTTGTTAAAGTTTCTAAATCGTGTATTGTTTTTGTCAAATAAATAAGTTCAATATTATTATTGAAAAAATGAAAATGTAATGAAGAATTTGATGAAATTGTAAAATGAATATATGTATTTGAAAGAAATATTTCATCTTTTATTGTATGCCATGATGAACAATGATTATTTTCTTCTAAATAAAGAAACTAGTACATTTTAAACATAAAGTCATGAGAATTTACTTGGCTGTATTCGTTCGAATTTATATATTTTATTTTGTTGATTTTTTGAATTGAGTTCTAATCGACTCCAATGACTTAAACCATACTGAGCAATTTGTATTGGATAAAGATGTCCATCTGGTTGCCATTGAGATGAAACGGGTATATCTAAAAATTCTAGTCAAAACTTTGGTTGATACTGCATACGAAAGCCTACCATATAAAAAATCGATGTATAATACTCGATTACGTTGTTCAACATTGAAATAAGCAAAATTAAGATATGATCCACGAGAATTATATGTAAAAGATGATGAAAGTATACGATAAGTGTAGTTTTGATAATGAATGAGCTATTCGAAGTAGAAATAGAAAGATCACCAATGAATGGTTACTTACTGTAAAAGGTGATTGAGAGTATGATAATATAGGATTTATGTTATATATTCGATAAAATAGAAATAAAGAAATACTTAAGAATAAGATATAGTTTAATCGACGAAAACGACATCGCATATCTAAGAAATAAAATCAACTTTTAGCAATTTTCAAAGGCTTTGAATCATCTTCAAACTAAAAGATGACTTATTCATTATATTGTTATAAGAAAAAGAATTTCTTTTTCCAGAAGGATATTTAATAGTTATGTTCAATCTTAATTACAAAGTTAACATATTTACGCATAAAATCTATGAGAAACAAAAAAAGTGTAATGTACATGAATAAAAACAAGGAACAAGAAAATCTATAGAAATATCAAACTTAAAAATGTATTAATATTAAAAGAAATCTATTCTATTTGATGATATTTATCTAAAGCATATTGACATAGTTCAGAACATTGTTGAGTTCGTAATGGTTTCCAATGTTCACATAAATTTTCATCAGAATATTCTTTATATAAACGTTTTAATTTGTCTTTTTTCTTTTCCGATCTATCGATTGATGCACGACGATGTTTTGATTTTAATTGTTTTTTTTGAATGACTGTTTTTGATTCTTTATTAGTAGATGTTATTACTTGTCGATTAGAGGATAATGAGCGACTTTGACTTTGTGAAGATACAGATAAATTATGTTGTGGTTGTTCGATTTCAGTTGAAGATTCACTAGTATGATGTGATGAACGAGGTTTGAAAAAAGGATTAATATGAATTTTAATTGTATTGACTGTTGGTTCTTGTGAATATAATAAATCATGATTAGAAACTAGAAATCAAGAAAAAATAAAGAAAACTTAAACATGTGAAACAAGAAAATGTTACGATTATAATTATTTGTTGAATAATTTAGAATTGATGTTGAGTTAGCGTCAAACTGATAATTATAGTAAAGTTGATCAGTATTATATGCTGAAAACGTCGATGGTTCATAATAATATTCATTAAAATATAGATTTGATGATGTAGATGATATATTTATGAAAAGATAAAATTAGAATATGAATACCAATCGATAGTTCCTTTACTATTCTCTTTAGATAGTAGATAGATAGATACATGTATGCAGAGTATTTTTCTTTTAATTCAATAAATGACGCTGATCGAACTTTTGAATAACGTCAACAACAATATAGTTGAATTAAATTCTATATTAAAATTCTTTCTATAAAAAAAAAGATCTTTGTTTACATGATAAAAATCAGTCAAAAGAAAAAAACATGAATTAATTAGGAACAGCTTCGATGATTGAAATTGGTGTTTCTGTATAATGTAATTGTTTTAGTTGAAAACCACCTTGTTTTAAAAGATATTCATATTGGTATTGTGTACGTTCTTTTGCACCTAACATTACCATCATATGCATATCGATACTATGTGCAATATTATTAATACGTTTATTTTGTTCATTTTCTGGTAATATAACAAATTCAATAAGAAATAATGTCACTTGTTGTTCCTTAGCTGCTTTTCGAATAGCTTTAAAAATATCAATTGCTCGCTGATCATTCCAATCGTGAATGATATTTTTCATAATATAAGCATTAGCTTGTGGAATTGTCGTTGCATCAAACATATCTCCACTGATGAATTGATATCGATCTTTTGATATATTCTGTTTGTCAAATTCATTTACAAGTTTTGCTTGTTGAATAACACTAGGTAAATCAAAGCAAATACCTTGTTGAATTGTTGTATATTTTTTAAGTATTTGAGATAAAAGTAAACCTAAACTACCACCAATATCAACAATTTTATTGAATCGACCAAAGTCAATAGTATTAATAAGTGGTTGACTGTAATTTTTTGAGATACATGTCATAGCTTCATTAAAATCACTAGCAATTTTCTTATTTTCTTTTTTTTGAAAAAAATCAAAAGTCGATTGATTACCAATGACATATTGAACTCCAGTACCCTTACTAGGACCATCACGTATTAAATTAGGTAAATAATTTGAAGCTGTTTTAACGAGTGGACTTAATTCCCAGCAAAGTAAATATCGAGTTTTACTTGGATGATCCGATGTTAAAAGACGGCCATGTTCAGTTAATTCGAAACGATTTGTTTTTTCTGGTTCGATTGTTTGATCAGATTTTATTTCACGTACAATATCAGCATCAGTTACTGTTCGTAAGAGTCGATAAAGATATTCACTGTTCCATCCTTGTTTTTTTGCTAATTCTTCAGCTGTCTGTGGTTTATCAACAGCTGCAAAAAGATCAGCAATACCTAATTCAGCAAATGTCCATACGGTATTTTCAAGTAAACGGTTTGTAATGAATGACATATATTTGCCAAAACCAGTTGTATGTTGTTCTGCCATAATAATTTGAACGTTATATTCTAAAAAGAAAATAATATGTAATCAACAAAATTTATATAGATAGAGTATAAAGTAAATGTGCATATATATATATATATATATTTGTTTATCGAGTTACGCTCTTATTGTTCTTCATTGTGAATATGTGACAAATCATGCATAAAATAATAGATTGAATTTAGTACATAAACACAGTATTTTTTTATAGCACGTGTCAGATGCTTAAGGAAAGTACAGACGACACGTAAAATTTTGAAAAGGTTGTTATTTGGTACTTTGCTGAAAAAGTCGAAGTACTTAGATGGTACTTTGTTAAATGAAAAAGTACTTTGCTTATTGGTTATACTATGGCTTATCCATAAATCACTTTTTTTCTCTTTCTTTCTTGTTTCTCTTTTCGTTTTACTTGTAGGTGGAGCTAAGATAGTTCGTTCTTCTTCGAGATTTATTATCTACTGCCAGTCGTAGAGATTATCGTTTTTTTTACTAAACAGGTTATTCAATCCATTTCTATCTTAGCACATTTATTTCTTACAGTTGTTTGCAAAAAAACTTGAAAACCTTCTTCTACAAATATTTTCTCCTATACAAGTCCTTTTCAAATTAGTTTATAATGTAGTAGTTAGCCCACGCGGAGAACCAAATAACAGTATAATTTTATATTCTTTTGATTGACTTATAAAAATACAAAAGGGGAAAGAAATAACACTTTTATATATACAACATGTAGTATATCTCTCAAGGATTTATCTCTGGAAAAATCAGTTTTATATTCATTTGTAACAGTAGAAAAATAGTTGTTTAAAAAAACAATTTTTCTAAGTTTTTTTGCGAACAACTGTATTTATTATGATAATGTTTGTCTATGTTTTCTTGACATGTTTTTTTTACCATTGGCACGGTATGGTATTTTGCTATTAAAAACACTAGTTCATGAACCAAAGCAAAAACATATAAAAAATAATAGCAATATATACGGTTAATGTATGATAAACAGAGAGATATTTTTCAGTATTCTTTTTAATGAAAAGTCATGATTTAAAGATATCTTTGTTTGATTCGACGTAGAAAAGCATTATTTATCTTTTTTCGTATTTTACCTTAGCTATTTGTGATTATGCTGAGTAATGGTTTTTTTTATACCTAATAAACGATTATAAATTATTTCGACCACTATCCAATTCCATCTATGTTCTTAAATCGTTTTTATCAAATTGCTTATGAATTTAAAAAAAGTGATGTTTTTATCTCCACTGATTTCAAAAGTTTGCTCATCCAGTTTTTAAACTATCTATGCATATTCTTGAATAACTTTAGCAATATTTCATAAATTCGTTACTAATCCACTAAGGCGAGTATTGCTATTTCATCACCAAGAAAACAATTTCAACATTAAATTATACTATTTCGAATTCTTCTCAAGTAGTATTAAGTTTTGCATAATAATGACTTTTAATATTTTGTATTTGTTGAATATGATCTTTTAGTTGTTTTCTAAACGTTCTAAAATCAATAAGGACTTTTTAATATACTTTACATAAACAATATTATGAACGTGCGTTTCTATTTATAAAATAGTTTCATCAATAGAATAAGTGCAGATTCGTATTGATGCAACACGTTTTTCATGTCATCTAATATTATTTTTACTAACTTCAAATGTCATCAAGTATAAAAATAAAATAAATAGTATACATTATTAATTATGTTATTGAATCAGTTTATCATCTTTCTTGTTCTATTTTTTTCATAGCTGACATCCATCTCATATCACTAAACGAGTATCTCGATAATAATAAGTTATGGGTGGTATTGCATCATCAAGACTTGCAACAATTGGTATATCAGCAATGAATCGTTATGGAATTTTATTTCTCGGTATTATTGGTATTTGGGGAAATTTATTAAATGTATATATTTTTAGTCGACCACATCTTCGTCGAAATACTTGTGTTTTATGTTTATTAATATCAAGTTTTTTAAATTTAATAATACTTATCTTCGGTGTTTTTTTACGATGTTTAATGGGTTACAATATTGATTTAACATATAATGCATCCATATTTTGTCCAATGCGTTATTATCTTATATATGTATGTCAATCAGGATCTCTTTGGTTGATTGTACTTGCTTGTGTCGATAGATATTTATCATCATCATTAAATATTATACATCGACAATGGATGAATCGAAAACGAACTAATCGTATTATATTATTTATATTAATATTTAGTTTATTATGTTATGTAGAAGTTTTTTATTGTTTTGAAGCATCTTTTATAACTAATGGATATTGTAAAACTAAAGATAAATATTGTTCATATATTGATACAGCTAGTTATTTAATATTCAATAGTTTTTTGCCATCAAGTTTAATGTTAGGTTTTGGTGCTGGTATGTTAATAAATATAAAACGAAGTTATCAGCGTATTGGACAACTTCCATCATATATTGGATCAATAAATAAAATCAATCGACGTGATAAACAACTTATATCCATGTTATTACTTCAAGTAGCTTTAATTGGTATATGTATGTTTCCTATTAGTATTATCAAATTTTATCTATCGATAACAATTTCGATCGAAAAAGCAAATGAACAAATTTATAATGAATACTTTGCATATCAACTTTCAGTTGCTATTTCATATATTAATCCAAGTGGAATGTTTTTTGTACATACATTACGTGGAAAACTTTTTCGTACTGAACTTATTCGACTTTTTAATCGTTTAAAATATCATAGTCATCGAAATTTATTGTGTCGACGAATATCACAAATAATGTGGGCTCATCCTATCAATCGTTTTTGAATTTGTATAAATAAAAAAATGTTTTGCTGAAGTATTTTTATTTTTGTATATTATGTATGCAGTATTTATGAGAATTAAGGATCTGGAATATATCAAAACTATTCTTCATAGACATAAAAGTACTATGTCAACTGTTTAAGAGACAGTCCATGAGAATATCGAGCAACGTTCCAGTATACGAGGCACAAGACAAAAAATACTTTTATGATTTAGCATGTGCATTTGAAAGATCATGTTTTGAAACTAACAAATCCAAATTTTTAGCTCATTTGGATGTATTTTAAAAAAGTTGGCCTAGATTGACTTTTTATCAGTACCAATCTATAACTTAAGTTATAGATTGGTACTGATAAAAAGTCAATCTAGGCCAACTTTTTTAAAATACATCCAAATGAGCTAAAAATTTGGATTTGTTAGTTTCAAAACATGATCTTTCAAATGCACATGCTAAATCATAAAAGTATTTTTTGTCTTGTGCCTCGATTCCTCGGTGCTGTCATAGACGCTCTCTTAATAATTAGTAGGTCATGCGCTTAGTTTAAAGAGTCTTATTCTATTAATATAACTTCAATCTCATATATTCTCTTGATTAAAAACAAACATTAAGAATTCTATTTGTTATCATCTTACGCCCTCTTTCGATATAGTTTTTTATAGGATCTCTAATATTGTCTTGATATAGTTTTAAGATTTCTTCAAACCTAATAGCCGAACGAACAAAATTGACATATTTTACTGTCTGTTTCTGATCTCCGTTTAACTCAATGTCTATAATAATCAGTCATAAAGACTCGCCGATTCATTTTTCACTCAACCATCCATCATTGAATAATGATGATAATGAAGAAAATCTTCCAGTAATTCATTGTCAAATCTCATCGAATTTATATTTTTACACTGTACTTCTCAGTGAACTTTCATCATCGTCCAATTTTGCAAATATATTCTATTATCTTGTCAGACAATTTAATAATAAATCCTATCGAAAACGTCTCAAATATATTTTTTCTTCAATTAATCATCGTCAAAATATTATTTATTTACAAGTTTATCCTAAAATAAATCAATTCGATGAATGGATTAATCGTTATTGGTAGATATTTATTAAATGATTTTCTTATTAGTTATTTTCTTATTTATAATCAAATAGGGCATCGATTCAATTGTCTGTTTTAGTAAAACGTGTTCGTTATGAATCATCATGGGCATGGTTATCAACATTAGGTGGTGGTCATTCATGTCTTGGTGAAATATCTGCTGAACATGTAAATATAAAAATATGTTTTTTTTCCTCTATTCTATCGATAAATATTTAGGCAAAAGAAGCTGAAGCAATATCAAAAAATCAAATACGTTTATCATCTGAAATTGGTGATCCAAATGCATTAGTTAAATCTTATTTATTTTTGTCATTAAGTTATTTACAACAGAAGCGTTATGATGAAGTGCGAACTATACTTCGGTAAAGAGAAAAACAAAGATAATAAAATATTTTTTTTCTAACATTGTATATTTAGATTTCAATATCGTCGTATTCAACAAAAAGATATTACTGAAGATCGTTTACCAGTAATGTGTATTGCATTATGGAAGAAAATGAAATATGCTATAAAACTGAATCAATAGATTGAATCTTTTCTTTTATTTTTGTGATATTTAACATGATTACAACTTATAAAATAGTTTTATTTTTTTATTTATATTTCATTTGAAATCTTAAAGAGATTTATAACCTAGTTTTGAAAACTTAATCATTGTTTCTTTTGGTTCTTAGATGAAAAGCTTTATTTACACAGATTTCCTAAAGAGTCTCATCTTAATACATAATGATCTCGATTGAAATTTCGTTTTCTACGAAATAATATGAATAGGTTAAAAATTAGAACTAAATTATTGATTTCAAAAAGTAAAGTGATTTACTTGTGAAGAATTCTTTCAATCGAACAAAATTAGAAATTTTTTGTTATAATTTTAGATCGAATGATATTCTTCGTAAAACTAATTGATTCTTTAACAATAGATATTGGATACGGGGGAATCAAATAATTCATTATTGCATGTTCTTCAGAAAAAAGAAAAAAACGAGAATATTTTGAATATAAAGAAGAAGATAAGGAGACATTGATTATATAACATGTATAAAACTTGATGCTGATGTATCCTATAACCAAGTAATGAATATGATAAAAAGAATTCTCGTTTTAGATGATCATTAATGATTTGGGCTACTTATAAAACTTCTATTTTACTCATTCCAACGATTTGTATATTCGTCTATTTTTTTATTTACTATACACTTTTCTCCATTTGTTTTACATTAATATCAATCGGTATGTATGCATATATATGTATATACAGTCTCTAAATAAATTGTTTGTTTTAAAGGTTTAATCTATGGTTTTATATTAGCAATACATCAATCAAAATTATATAGAATTGTTCATAGTCAAAAAATCAAAACACGACATAATAATATAGTTAAATGGATAATAGAACAAATTCAAGTAAACTAAATAATTTAGAATAAAATTTTATTTTCTCCCTTTTTCATAGATATCTTCCAAAGAAAATCTAAAAGAAAATATTGTTGCACAACATGCATCTAACATTGATTTAGATACTATTGTTGATCAGATATGTGATTTACTTTTAAACGATCTTGTTTTATCTTGGTATCAACATGTTTCTTATGAACAAATAACATTTACTCGAACAGTCAAGTAATCAATCTTACTTAACAAATCTCTTTTTTAAATAATCATTATTTTCTCTTTAGACAAGAAATTCATTTAATCGTATCGAATCTTAAAACACGTTGTGCTCATATTGATTGGGTTAAAGTTATATCGAACGATCTTGTTGTACAATTTGCTGAGCATTATCAACAAGTTCGACGAGCAACGTTCGTATTCTTTACAAGATTTATGATATATTTGATTTTTGATAAAAAATAGTTTACATCCTGCTGAATATTCATTTCAATTACATGCTTATCTAGCAACGGATGAAAGTGAAAATGATTTTTTGCGAGCGATAAGTGAAGCATTATTACTTCAACTTTTACCAGCAAGTTATTCATCAACATTAGCTATAAGACACTTATTACGTGAAATACTTGTTTTTAAAGGTAAATTCTGTTTTATTTATGACAAAAGAAAATATTTATTTCTATCAAATATAGTTTTTAAACCAACGATAAATTTAATATGTGAACCAGATTATTTTAATGAAAATATTTTATTAAAACTCGAACAATTAAATTTAAATAATGAACAAAAATTACGAAAATTTACATTAGCATCGAATTATGAAAATTTTATTAAACTTATTGAAACAAGTAATGATCTTGATAAACTCGAACAGTTTTGGTAATAAATCAGTGACATTTCAATTTAAAACTTTAATATCTATTCTTATTAGGAATTATATTGTGACAGAAATTATGCAAGCGACAGCAATTAGAAATTTATTAAAAGAAGGAGTCATTTCTAATGGTATGTAGAATAGAATATGCGATTATATTAATTGTCTTTCTATTCAGATAATCATCAGGCTCGACTTGGAACAAAAGGTGAATTATTAATGAATCGTGATTTAACAAAATATCTTAATCAATTACGACGAGCGAAAATTGTTTGTGAAAGACATATTACAGCCAATGGTGGTCGAAGTTATCTACTTGTTGATGCAAGTACAAATAAAATAAATTTAGCTAATCGAAAAGTATGTTTTAATTATATAATAAAACTACTTTTTTTTACACTATACAAAAATTAATTAGATACTTTCATTAAATATGATATTAAGTTGTATTACGGGTCGTCATCATTTACATGAATTTTTAGAAACATTTGGTACACATACATTAGTGAAGTAAGATATTGAAAAGAAATTGTTTTAGTTAGGATAAATTATTTTATTCTAGATTTTGGTATGATATTTGGAAATTACGTTCTGGTAAGTTGTTTATTTTAGTTCGTTATGCATTAATTAGGTCTTATTTTAATATCTAGCTCCGTCTCATGAACGACATCGTGTAGCAACAAAAATTTATAATACATATATAACACGTTTTGGTAGTGCTGTTCGTGATGAGATTGATAATGCTACTGTAGTTCGAATGACATCATTTCTTGTTGGTGAACAGGTAAGACAGGAGTAAAGATCGAACTGAATTGAGTATTGTTAGTTTATTTTGAATCAATGCTGTAAAAATATACTTTTGGAGTAGTTTAAAAATTATTTGATCCGTTAGAAAGTGAATCGAATTATCTGATAACGAATAAAAACAATGAAATAATTATAGGCTGATCCAGATGCATTTTATCATGCTCAAGCTATTGTTTATCGAGTATTACAACGTGATTATTATGCATCATTTCTTGTTTCAAAACAATATGATGCTCTATGTCGAACATTCAATTCATCTAATCTACAAGATTGTATGTTTTATTTTTTTATCTATACATATTTAATTTTTTCTTCGAAGTTGATTTAAAAGAACAATTACTTGGTTGGTCAACACCAATTTCAGCCGATGAAAATTATGATGAATCAGATGATAATCGTACAACACAACGACCTGAATCACCAACTGAAGAACCATCTCAAAGTGTACCGAAACGTTTAGCTGACTTACGAAATCAATTAGCAAATAAACAATATGCATTAACAGCTGCAAAAGAAGGTTCTACATTTGACGCTACAGTTCGTAAATATATATTCGATTGTGCTTATAAATGAAATCGATTTTAGATTTTAGCATCACTTGAACGTGATTGTGCTGATTTAAATCAAGAAATAAGTACATTAGAATGTTTATTAGAAAATGTTGATTTATGGTGGTCATATTTGGGTCAATGGCAAGCTCAAGTACTTTCAGATGTGGTTAGTTTCTTACAAAAGATATAGACGCTTCGATAAATACTTCTTTTAAGATCGGGAATGGCCGAGCTTGTTTAGCTGTACTTGTTCGTAGTCCAAATAGTGAACAGGATCAAGTTGGTTGGGTTGTAACACGAACAGTACATGCTTGGCAACAATTTTATATTCGTTTAAAAGATGTTCGTGTTTAATTAATTTTTAAAAATACAATTAAATTCATATAAAATTAAATATATATTTAGTTACAACCAACATTACCAACAATTGATATATTTCGTGTACGTCATCGTAATTTTGCTCAATTAGCATATGATACAGGATTATCTCGACAATTATCTGAACAACTTGAAATATTTTTACAAAACATTTTACAAGATGAACACATGTCATCATTTGAATTAGTTTATCAATTTTTAAATCCATCAATTATTGATAATGATAGACAATCATCAAATGTAGCTACTACTAAAAAGAAACAAACAAATTCAAATAAAAATTCATTGTAAGAGAATATAGAAACATCCCACACCCCACTCTCGAAAAAAATAACTTGTTGTATTTTTAGTGATATGTTTCGTTCGGATAAAACATCGAACGAATTACAAGAAATTGATAGGTATGAAAAATCTTTTTTGATATTATTCTGTTCCATCTTATTTTTCTTTTTCATGAAGTGTTCGTTTTCTCGAAGGTCGAGCTGATTCAATTGCTAAACCATTTTATGCTTTTATTGATATATTATTCGATGAACAACGTAGTTTACTTAAATTAATACGTATGACGTTAGTACAATTTATTCGTGTTACATATGGAAGTACAATCAATCGACAAGTACGTCGATATATTGTTAGTCTATTTCAAGAAGAATGTATTGTTAAATATTTAATGATATTACAAGACGCATTTTGGCCTAAAACTCCAGTTCCTGAAAGACATGCATTTACAGATGATGAAAAAATTGAACGAAGACAACAAGCTAAACGACAATTATTATCAAATATACCAGGTTTATCTTTCTATAGAATACAAAGAAACAAATTTAAACTATATCTGTTTCTTTTTCTAGAAACCATTTCTTTAATATTCGGTTCCGATAATGCAAGATTAGGTGCAGAACGATTATTTGAACTCTTCCAAAATGTACAATTAAACAAACATCTTTGTTACGTAAGAAATTAAAACGAAAAATTTATTTTATGTTATCTTTAAGTTTTTTCTTAGAAATTATTATTAATGATTATGAATGAAATCTTTCCAGAGTTACATACCAAATTATAATTCTAGTTTTCTTTTGTTTTTGATACATACTGTGCAATTGTAATTTTTCATTTAATAGAACAAACATGTGTTTTTTTATATAATAAAAAATAAAGATTTTATATTTTATTTTTTAACTGAAATTTAATCTATACAGAGAAACGAGTCAACGAGTTCAGTTTCATATTTTAGTCTTATCTAGTATTACGTAAGCTTCTCTTGTCTGTATCAAATAAAAACTTTGTTCTTTATTCATCCGAACTTTAACTTTTCTTATCAAGAAATGTCTTTATTTACTATAAAAAAAAAAGAAGAAAAGATAATAAATTCGATCAGATTAAATCAATATTTTCTGCTTGTCCTGTATTGACTTGTTTTCTTCTTCTTTCACGAGTATCTTCTTCATTATCTTTATTAAATGCATCCAATGGTCGTTTACCCGATACTTGAAATAAAAACCATTCAGAAAACCATGCCGGTAAGAGATAATCATTAATAAAACCAATATATTTTAAATGATATGGTAATATAACTTCATTTCGACGCCATTCAATAGCATCTAATACTTGTTTAGCAACATAATGTGGAGAAATAATTGGTACTATGAATTTCAATGAAATCTGAGTGAGCATTGGATTAAACATTTTTGTTCGCATTAAATATGGACAAATACAATGAATAAATACACGAGAATTTGGATGCGTTGCATGAATATCAAGACGAAGTGATCGACTTAGACCTAAACTAGCATGTTTTGATGAAACATAAGTTACTGGACCATGACAAGCATGTATACCTAAATGCGTTTTCGAAAAAAATTGAATGATTTAAATTAAAATATTCTTTTTCTTACCAAGAACACTAGAAATAAGAACAACATGTCCACGATTAGCATCAAGCATGTAAGGTAAAAATGCTTTAATTAACCAAATAGGTGACAATGAATTAACATCAAATGTACGTTCAATATCAGCGTCAGATTCAGTTAATAATGATCGACCACTAACATATCCAGCATTAGCAATAAGTATTGATATTTGTCCAAGATCATAACGAACTCGTTCTGCATATGCATAAACTTCAGTTGCACGTGTTACATCAACATGATATATTCGTACACGACTTGTATAATTATGACTATGTAAAATTGCTAAACATTGTTGTTGAGTTTCACGATTTCCTATTGAAATATTACAGAAAAAATAATTTTCTTTATTTATAAGTCGTATAATAATATCATACCAATATCATCAATATCCCAAAGTGCTAATGAAGCACCAGCTCTTGCAAATGTCAACGCTATTTCTCTTCCAAGACCATTTGCTGAACCAGTTATAAGTACAATTTGATCTTGATAATTATAAGCAATTGGTTGTAAGCCTAACCATTGCAAACAACGATAAAAGGTAAGAAATGCTACAGCAAATGGATAAAGTATTAAATTGATTATAAAACGTAGAAAACCAAATAAATCAATCATTAATAAGTTTATTAAGACAAATGTTTTTGTTTGAAATCACAAAAGAAAAATTAAAAAGACTTCTATCTGAATATCCTATAATATTTTTGTTCTTCTTATCAATAAGTTAACAAGAAAAGAGCATAGATAATATGAATCATATTTTACAAAATATAATGGATAAAAATAATCTACAAGATTTCATTGTCTATATTAATCTATAATAGAAACAAAAAAAGATTCTCAAATAAAAATTAGATATTTTTGAAGAGTTTATTTCTCGAAATAATCAGATAAAGTAACATAAACGTCTTAACTAAATCTATACAAAACTGAACTTTTGTAATCGAAATAATAAATTTCATCTTTATTATTAATAAGAGAAAGATGTTTGTTTGAGAAAAAGAGAAAAACATAAACAATAATATATGTAAAAGACATGTCATTTGAATAGCATAATAGTAATAGTGTGAATATTTGTCATAAAGATAAATTTGAAGATGAGAGAAATGATCTAGTAAGTGGCGTAAAATTTTCATTGGAGTATTTTAGAGGACAGGTGTCTTTTCTTTTTTCATTTCGATATGGTAGAGAAGCTTTGAAATATAAATGATAAATTAAATCTTGAACAGAATAAAACATATTCTACACATAATAGCAAATAAATGAAAAATACGTCAATTAAAAGTCATAATAATACAAACATGCTTTACTACTTATAATTTCTCAGAAAAAAAACTGTCTTTTACAAAATACCTTTGATTAGAATTTATTTTATCAATAATTAGTAACTCATGAAAATCATGAACAAGTGTTGTATAATGATATTGATTGTCGTCACAATTATGTCTTTTACGATATCATTGAGAAACTTGAGGAATTTATGTTCATAATTTCGAGAGAATAAGATTTTGAAATACTTTTTCAACGTTATCGCAACAGTAAGGACAGGCTTTTTTAAACTACGCAATGAACATGTAAAAAATGAAAAGAAAGTATATTGAATTTGTTCTTAAAAAATCTATTTGAGAAGAGAAAATTGATGTTTACTAATGTATCTCTAAATGAGAATATATAATCAGGGGTGGCGCGAGTTAATCAACATTAGAAGGGGGGTGTAACGAAGTTTTTTGAATTTTTGGGGGTGTAGCATCATCTTTGGTAAAAAACTTAAGAAGATTTGCCAATTTTGTTGAGCAAAAAATAGTAAATTTCGAAGATTGGCGGGGTGTTACACCCCTCGGTCGCGCCACCCCTGTATATAATTAAAGAATATTTTGTTGAATAAAAGTGAAAAACTTTATAGACATAACGAGCATTCTCTACAGATGTCTCTCGATACATTCAGATGTAAAATGTCAGAATTTCTATTGATTACAGCAATAAACCAATGAAAATTTTAGAAGTATTTACTATAGAATTTCATTCTTATTAAAAGATTCGTTTTCAGTCACACAATAATAATAAAATCGATAGTTGATAATTTTCTATTACTTAACTTGTTTTTTTTTATTTACAAACGATATCGTGAGTATTAAATTTTATTTTTATTTCTTCTCATAAGAATATCTTAAAACGGTATAGTTGAAATCAAAATATTTCTATTTTTCTTTGAAAATTTCATAATAACAATAAAAATTATCTCTAAGCAAAAATATGCTTATTTAGAAGCTCGTCTACGTATTACAAGATCAATTATACATACACAAACAGACGGTTCATTCTCTATGTTTACACAAGATAACATAGTTTCTCATTTTAGAAGTGGAAAAAAATCTACTTCTATTACACAATCAAGTTAGAATATTCTCATTGTCTTTTCTCTTTATTTTATTTTTTTTTCTCTAGGATTTATTTTCTTGTTTTCTCTGTATCGAATTTTTTTCGACAGAGGTAAACTTTTATTTTAAACAAAAAAAATCTATTTATTTTTTATTTTTCTATTTAAATTAGAAAATGGTTGATGAAATGGAAATTGAACGTATGCTTGAAGAAAAATTACAAGGAGATGTACAAAAACAACCACAAGAACAAATAGTAGATAAAACTGAAGATAAAAAACATAAAGAAAAAAAACATCACAAACATCATAAACATCATAAACATCAGAAATCACATAAAAGTGAGAAAAAACATGAGCGTAAAGCAAGTCGTTCACCGAATAATCGTCATCAACAACCGCCAGCGCCATCAAAAGTATTATCTTCGGGAAAACGACGAGATGTAAAATCAGATTTACATATATTAGGAGAAACATTAAATCGTCAATCACGAGCAAAAGAAGCTGCATCAATGTTAAAATCAAATCGACGAGAAAAAACACCAGAATTAACACCAGAAGAACGAGATCTTCGAACTGTATTTTGTAAGACCATATTTCTATCTCTTTCTAAAAACAAAATTAAGGAAAAAGAACATATTTCATTGAAACTTTTGATATCAAACAAGTGAGCCTCTGAGTTTGCGAGAATAAACTTAGTTTTAGATCAAGAGAAATCGACAGGGATTCGAAATGAGTTTTCTACTAAAATAGTTGAAGTCAGTTTGAATTTGATGATTCTAACATCGCCGGTATGATTATCATCAGTACAGATAAAAGATTTTTATATGTGCATTATAATTGACTAATGAACTTGATTTCATATACATCATGTTAAATAGAGAGCGAAGCACAGTATGCAAGAGTAAGGATATTGAGTAAAATGAATATAATCTTTTGATTTGCAGTAAAACTCATTCGATGATGTTTCTCATTTCAAAATATATTTATAATAAAAATTAATTTGTCTGACGTAGTCTACTTTTTTAGTCGAAAATATGTATGTTCATGTAAAATATGGACTTTATTATGTAAAAATGAAGTATTGTTAATTCTATTGTGTTTAAATAAAAATATGTATGTTAATTTTAATTATAGGTATGCAATTAGCTGCTACGATTCGTCCACGCGATCTCGAAGATTTCTTTGCTCGTATTGGTAAAGTTCGTGATGTTCGTTTAATAACAGATCCACGAACACGTCGATCAAAAGGTGTTGCTTATGTTGAATTTCGTGATTTAACATGTGTTCAAGCAGCACTTACTTTAAATGGTGAAAAAGTTCTTGGTATACCAATTGTAATTAAACCATCGAATGCTGAAAAAAATCGTTTGGCAGCTCAATCAACTAATACAGCTGCTGGTCAAACTTCATATATGATGAATGGTGCAGTTGCACCAAATGATTCAGTTATACCAACACATGGACCTATGAAATTGTATGTTGGATCACTTCATTTTAATATAACTGAAAGTATGTTACGTGGAATATTTGATCCGTTTGGACGTATTGAAAATATAACACTTATGAAAGATCCTGATACAGAGCGATCAAGAGGATATGGTGAGTGATAAAAAAAAAGTTTTTTATAAAATAAAATTTAAAAATTTTGTTTTTTCAAGGTTTTATCCAATTTGCTCATGCTGAAGATGCTAAACGAGCAATGGAAAATTTAAATGGTTTTGAATTAGCTGGACGATCAATGAAAGTTGGTCATGTTACTGAACGACTTGGTGAAATGTCAACTACTGGTAACACGAATATTCCACATTATACTGTTGGAATTGCATCTGCATTTGCATCAGGATCAAATCTTGATTCAGATGATCTTGATCATCGTGGTATTAGTTTAGGTCCTACTGGACGTTTAGCATTAATGGCTAAATTAAGTGAAGGTAGTGGTTTACAAATGCCAAAAAATGCGATGGATGCATTACAAGCTGCACATGTTCAAGCAGCTAGTTCTCAACATGTTCGCATACCTGAACCACCTAATTCACAACAATTAGCAACATGTACAGCTGTTAGTACACAATGTTTTATGCTTTCAAATATGTTTAATCCAACTGTTGAAGCTGGAAATCCTCATTGGGTACAAGAAATACGTGATGAAGTTATTGAAGAATGTAATAAATATGGTGGTGTTGTACATATTTATGTTGATGAAAAAAGTCCTGATGGAAATGTTTATGTTAAATGTTCAACTATTGCTAGTGGTAAATTACTTTACTATTATTTAATCATATATAAATATGAAAAAGGAACTAGAATCAGATAGTACGAATCGAATTGAATATGTTAGATTTAGTCTAGATATCGAAAAACTAATTTCTTTATTACTTTTCATTGGTTGATTAGCATAAAAACATGCCAATCTATAGAAGATCAAAATAAACTAGGTGTCTGAAGGCTGAGTAATGAGATTATGTGAAACAAAATATAATAATTTCTAATACTATTGTTTAGACTGTATAGTTTGCATTGTGTTTAATGAATATTCGTAAACTATTGAAGTTAAATAAGTTTTGACAAAGTTCGAACTTCTCAGGAGAATACTACGATTAACAAAGTATTGTTATGTTTACATTAGGCATGCAGCGAACTCGAATGTTCGGGTTCGAGTTCGGCGTATGACACAACTTGTTTGCAGTCGTTAGATAAGAAGAATTCAACACTTAAAAAAATCCCGAACCCGAACTCCGGTTCGAGTTCTCTGCATGTCTAGTTTACATCGAGACTGAAAATTAGTTTTGATCACTTTTTTAACAGAAAATAAACCTTTAATCAGGAAAACAAAACTTTCATAAAATATCTGATATAGAACAACAAACGTTCTTCTATAAAAGAAGATGTCGAACGAAATTATTGTACATTCATTTTATCTGAGCTTCACAGAAGTAGAAAAAGTCTGTCCAAATAGATCCACAGAATACTTAAAAATATGCCGGATAGAATCGATAAATTCCTAGTTTCTTTTTTTTTTATACACAATCAACTTTGAGATTATGTATTCATATTTCTTTTTAGCTATCAATACTGTCAATGCACTTCATGGTCGTTTTTTTTCTGGTTTGACTGTAATTGGTAATTATATTCCAACTCAATCTTATCATAAACTTTTCCCGCAATCAAGTTCAGCGACAACTCTCTTAACTCCTTCATCGTAAAGAAAATTCTCGAACCTCAACAACCGATATTTTCTGTTCGAAAGATAACGATTAAAATAAATATTTCACTTTAAAAAAAAATTAAAGAACGAAATTGTTTGTTTATGTTCATTCTTTTTTTGTAAACAAAACTTTTTTTTTTCGAAACAAATATACGTGTTGTGTGTGTGTATCATTGAATTACAAAAAAAAAAGAAAACTTCTTCTTTATTCTTTTCAAGATGGTTCGTGTAAAACATAATCAATCTTCACGTCGAAATTATCAAAATAAAAATAATTTCCATAGTAATTCTTCTAATCATAATGTTATTCAAGTAGGTCAATATGGTTTTTTTGTTACATATTGTTCAACAAAAGAATCATTTGTTCGAAATGAAATTTATAATCTATTAAATCGTTTTGCTGATCAATTATTTGGTGAAGAATTTTCGGATGAAAAACAACTTGATACAACTGATCTTAATGATCTTGATTCAGCATTAGAAAATGAAAAATCAAAATTAAATGATTCCAAGAAAACAAAACGTCGTTTTCAAATTGTTAAATCAGGTACAAAACATTCATTATTTGTTACAACAACAATACCTTTAACATCGATTAATAAACTTATTGAATCTATATTTCAAACAAGTATACAATCGAAAGAACAACATAGTCGATATGTTGAACGTTTATTACCTATATCATTTATATGTAAAGCATATGAAGATGATTTAAGAAAATTAATAATAAAACAAGAATTTCTTGACCAAATTTTTGTCTTAACTAATGATATGGAATTAACAAATAATACAATATGGTTTGATGTTCAAGCAAAAAAATCGAATAATACACAAGTAAAATCAAGTCATTTAGAAGAAATCGTTATAAATGATTTAATGTCAAGAAAATCGGAAGATTTAAATGGAAAAATATTAAAACGTGATTATAAAAAACCTCAAATATGTATTTTAATACATGTTATTAAAAGTTTAATACTTATTTCAATTGTAAAACATTATGATATGTTTAAAAAATATAATCTTGCATCGATTAATCTTACAACAACGACAGCAATGACGACGACAACAACTGCAACAGCAGCAACAACAACAGAAGGGGAGAAAAAAGAAGAAGAAGAAGAAGAAGGAGGAGAACAAAAACAAAAGAAGATTATATTTGACGACGATGATGATGATAATGATGACGATGATGACAATAATGAAGAAACAAACGATTAAACTTATTTATTTTAATAAATAAGAAAACTTAAATAAGAACTAAAAACAAACAGAAATATTTGTTAACTTTTTTTTTTGAATTTGTTGTAAAATATATATTGGAATAACATTTGGATGTTAGGTCATGACCAACTGCTTTCTTTCTTTCCTTGTCTTTTTCATATTTTGCGCGTTCGCTTTTTCTCGTTCTATCCTTATGAGAGTATCGATGTGGGGCGTAGACAAGGGGTAGGCATTTTGCGATCACGCCATTCTGGTCTGTCTTAACTGACTTATCGACTTACATATAAAGTCCACATATGTTTGTGAGTGTTTTTTACTATCTACTATCGTACATCTAGATACCGAGAAATAACTTTGGACGAAAATACAAATGACAACAATGTTAGTCCCTAGCGCTTCATCTACCTCATCACGATCGTTAATATTATTTGCTTTCGGTTGTACATTAGCAATTGTATTAATGACATTTCAATATGAACATAAAATATCATTATTTAATTCTCCTCGTCATATGCTTACATTACCTTCTTTGAGTCTCATTTCCATATGTGGTCTGGGCACTGGTAAATTAATTAACAAAAAAAATATTCTATTTTTATTTCTTCAATAGCTTTAGTCGGTTTTCTCTATCCAATGCTAATTACATCTAATGATCAAACATCTGTATCTTTATATATGGATGAACCTATGCAAAAATCTCAACTTTGTAAATCAGTAGTCATATTTGTTGGTATTAATCATCTATGTGCAGTAAGTTTTTAATTACGAAAAAAAATTAAAAAAAAAAATATTCTATTTATTTATTAGAAAATTCCATTTCAAAGTGATCTTCATTTTAGTATTATCATAGTTTTACTATGTATAGCATTTTGGTGGTGGTTTGATGGAACTAAAATTGACTTTACTTTTTCAATTATTGTATCATTTATATTGACAATGACAACAGAAATATTACTACGTGCTGGTGCATTAGAGTAAATTGATTTTTTACTAGAGAAAATCTTCTAATATTTTTTTTTAATTTAAAGATATACATATTCAGATTTTTATTTAAAAACATGTGTGCCTTGTCTAACATTTGCTGGTGCTATTCTGATAATACAAATAACAAAACTATTATCTCCAGTAACTTTTGTTTTTTTGATTAATATTAATTTAATTCTTATTTTTCTGTTTTTATAGAATCAATCATCATTAATACCGAATATTCAAATCGAACAAGAACATATGAAAAATGAGTAATCTACTAATCATCTATGTTACATTAACAGATAAATCAAATTCTATTATCTATATTATTGATTCATTCATCTATTTCTAATATGTATGTCTAATATTAAATGGACATATTTTTGATGATATCGTTTTTTCTCTTATTTTTTGTTTTTACCTCTGTATAGGTTTGGTATTTTTACCCTCCCGTGCAATGTATTAATATACTTTAAAAATATTAGAGAAACATTTTCTGTTATTTTCTTTTTTTTCTTCAAATGTATTTTTGTATATATGCTTATAAATTAAACACGAAGTTTCAAGTATAAATATATTATTAATTACGAGAAATATTTAAAAACATTTGACAAGAAAGTGAATATTTTAGTTGGGTAATTATTTATATAAATTATGTATGAGATATTTATCTTGGAACAATAAAAAAGTTATATATGACCTCAACTAGAATAATTCTTTGTCGATCTATAAGATGAAAATTACTGTGTATGAGTTTATTAAGAACGACTATCACTAGAAAAATATCTAAGCATGTAGTGAAAATCCTTATTAATGCAGCATCTTTCAATAAATCTGTTGTTGTGATATATAGAATTATTGATATGATTTCTGTTGAAAATAACTAATGAGAATCGATCATTCAATTTAGAAACATTCTCGTATTTCATCAATAAATTAAGAAGAAAACAAAATATATTTGATTATTAATCGTTACGTTTTTGAATAATAGATTTTAATTAGGATTTTCGAGTTTTGCATAACATTATTCACACCAGTTTGTAGAACTATTTGTCAGTTGCTTTCGCTTTTTTGTTTGTTTTTAACAAAAATCTCTATCCATTGTTTATTTAAACATTTTTTCAAATTGGAACTGAATGTGTAGATGAGTAAGTCTATATTGTAATAATATCATTCGATGTTCTGAGAGAAATGGTAGTACTTAATTCCATTCTATACTATTGAACATCTTTTTATAAATTAAAGTATTGAGCAAAAAGAATGTTTAAACAAACAATGGATTGAAAAAATGTCTAATTCGGTTTGAATGTGATAGAAGTAGTTCGATAGTAAATAATGATATATTTGCTGTGAAGAGTGTTATTAATATTCTGCAAAGTCAATGTTTAGTTTACTTATGAAGTAATAATTTACAAAAGAACAACTGTTTAATATTTCATAATCAACAGGATTATTATGAACAGTATACTTGTCATATAAGGTTAGATATATACTTATATTACTATTACTGCCTTCAGCTAAATAAACTTGTCGAAGATTTATCATATAATGTGTCATAAATTGATGCGATGTAATTTAAATCATACGAAGAGTTCTAAACTAAATGCTTCCATTTCATTGTAACCTTGCTTATAAAAGTAATGTCTTTACTATCTAATTTCCATATCCGTTCAAGGAGAATGTCAAGTGTAAGAACTCTATAGTAAGTAGTAAAAGAATATCTATATCTGACTGAATGATTTATGTTGATTATGAAATGATTGTATGATCAAATGAACCATTAATTGACCAACACTTATCAAATTATATCAGTCAATAAAACAGACATTTGCTTTTGATTTTATCTTAACATAACTTTTCTTTGTACGATATAAAATTATCATCAGAAAAAATCTCTCTCCTTATATTGTTTTTTTTTGATATTTCAAACAAATTGTTGAATGACATTTAAAATTTTGATGTTGATCATTGTGGTAAAATAGAACGAATATGCATTAGAAATCCAACTTTTGTTCAAATTTCATCTATACATTCATGTTGATTGAATTTTGTAATAAATATTCATTTTATCTTTGATCCATATCGAATTTGTTTTATGTAATCTTTATCAACTGATAATATATAAATATCAAGCTTTGAAGGAGATTTTTATCTTATTAAAACTACAATACGTAAAAGCATATAGTTGCTTCGAACATATTTTTTTTCCTGTTTTCATTGATTTCGAATAGTTTAATGTCATTATAGTTGTTGTAAAAAAAAACACTAAAAAAAATGAATTGATTTTGTTTTATAGTATCGCTGATGGGAGAGAGTTTTTTTTTCATTCTCTTTTAATGGACCACATAGAATATAAAACAAAAAGTCAGTTTAAACTATTATCTCAATGCAATAACTGTTCTCTTTTATACAACTACGATATGTACAATGAAAGAGAAAGAAGAAGAAGAAGAAGAAGAAGAAGAGAAGAACGAGGGAGGAAGAGAGACAGACAGAGAAGAGAAATTTTTTTTCCTTGTTCCTACAATCGCATAACGGCAGTAGCAGCAGGAAGCAACATACTACATATAAGCTCATCCTATTCTCCTCCTTGTTGTTGTCTCAATGGTGGTTCATCGTATCAACATTCAAGTATTCTCTTCATTTAAGTGGACATAGTAACTAATAGTACCTCTCAACTTCTGTTTCTTTTGTTGTCAAACTTACAACAACAACAAATATCTATATATATATACAATATCAACATACAATGTTTTGGACATTCTTTATTAGTTTTCTTCTCATCATTACAACATCGTCATCTCATATTGATATTAATGGTAAGAAGATTATATAGGTTATCATAAGTATTCATGCATAAGATTGAAATCAATTGATACTGAATGAATATTCCAGATTTCTTTTCTTTTTTTTTGAACATTCATGTGATTGTGTAGAAGTAATATAAAAGTGACAATATAAGACGCAAAACTCTTCCGAAGTCATAAATCCAATGTATATATAAATGTATGTGTATGGTGATGATGTAAACGACCATTTTACCATACACATACATACACACACGTCGTGATAATGTTCAAGTTCAGCTGTGATTTGCATAAATCATATCATCTTTTGTATATATGTATATCTCTATATAAGATGATATATGCCGCTGTCCATCTGTAAAATTCTTTAGCAATCTCAATTGTCATTGCCTATTTATCAATACACTTGTTGTCTCCCACCCACTCATATTTAGACAAGAACAGTTGACATACTCTCTCTCTCTCTCTTGATATACATAGATATATGTATATACATACAAAGGCATTTCTCTTTGATATGTTGATTATTGTGTTGAATTATCTTGTCGCCTGTTATAACAGATATACACTTACCTTGACAGAAAGGAAAAGAGATTATGTCATATCATCATTATCATCATTACAAAAGATGTTAACCGGATGTCGGTTTGGACAAGTATCATGGATCATCTGTCTGTAATTACCGTGGACAATGGTCAATAATAAAAAACAAATAGGATAATAGAGATAAATTTTTTCTTCTTCTCTATACGAGTAGTAATAAATGATTATGTAAATATGCTTTCTTTTCTTTTCTTTTGACTCTCTACAGAGATTGATTTTATTCAAATAAAATAAAAAAAAAGAAATTGTGTGTATCGCTTATAAATAGTGCTGTTCCCTATGTGACACCGATTTGCATTCCAACACACACACACATATATGTATATTGGCAGACATTAGCTCATTTGGGGATGTCTGTTGCGAATTGTGAATGAATGAAGTGTATGAGTTGACTAATTCGATTGGGGATAACGCGCATCATTCAGTTCTAATTCGATATAAGCAGCTAGCATTTGTCCATTTTTTTTGTCATTGCTCCTATGCATGGGTGATGAGTTTTATATTGCACATTGTCCTTTAATACAACAAATCAATGATGACACTTGCATTAGGGAGAAATCTTTTTCTTTTCTTATAAAAGATAATAAAACAAAAATTAAAAAGATATTTTATTCTCACTTTTTTCTTTTTCTTTTTCGAAATTTAGATGAAAATAAACCAATAATCGAAGCATTAAATACGAATGTAACAGTAACTAGTGGACATAAAGCAATATTAATATGTACATTCGATAGTACAAATAACGATCTATCACTTTCATCATCACATCAATTAATATGGATTCGACAGAATTATGAATCAAATAATGCTGATTCATTACTAGCACATAATCAAGATTTATTAATATCTGATTATCGTTTAATTGTTCAACGTACGGATACATTTTATTCATTAACAATAACTGATGTTAATATTGATGATGAAGGAATATATGCCTGTGAAGTCAATACTCAACCACCACAAAAAGCATTCGTTCATCTATATGTTCAAGGTATAGTTTATAGTTTATTAAGTGAATCTTCTTTTTTCTTCTTCTTCTTCTTTTTTTTCTTCTTCTATAAATGCATGATCATAGTCTGCACCTGCTAGGATGAATATGAGATTTTTAAACGGAAATCATGATTCCGGCATGATGCGCCTATATATGTGTTTAATGTCTATTCTAACTGTCAAAGTTAAGCATCACGCTCGAATTGGGATGATCAACACATTTCTAACTGTGATCATATATATAGTATTTATCGGAATTGTTTATAATAGAAAGCAAGAGAAAATGTGAATGATTCTTCGTTTAAGTGAATGCCAGACGAATCGAAGATGAAATGAAGGCGAAAGAATATATGTGTGCGTGCTGCTACTTAATGTATTTAATGTTATGGTGGTTAGTACAATAGAGATGAAGAAAATCGGTAAATGATGATGATCAGGAGCTCTGGCAAATATATATGCAGAAGTGAACTGAACCGAGAGAGTATGTTTATATTTGAACGAGTGATGACATTTTGTTGTCTACATATATATATATATATGAAACAGAAATAGAGACATACACATACGGAATTGCTTTTCAACGCCTTTCTTTACTAATATAACGTGCGACGACTATCAGCGTGTCCTTTTGTTCGTCGTCAGTCATTATATATTGCTTAGAAGATCTTAATTTTGATGCTCAGCTGATAGACATGCACGCTAGTGATGATGTGCGCGATCAATTAAGATCTGTTAGCGCGTGATTTGATCTAGATACACATATATATGTGAAAAAGACAAAGACAATATGGAAATTGTCGTGATTTTAGAATGATAATTAGTTGTATTTTTGTCTAATCTGAATTCGAATAACATAAAATGAGATAAAAATCAGTATGTTACACCTATGTCGTGTTGTTAGTTTTTAATAATATAAAGTATTATTGTCTATGAATTTTACAATCCCGGAGTATTGGGAAAAGGAAATTAACTGTACATTCTGTTCTACATGATATGTATAATAAAAAGATAGATAGAATTAGTCAGATATAATCATACGAAAAAAAGCAAATATTTAAATTCATATGTAATATGATAATTTGTATTAATTACGATTACATACGACTTTTTTTTTTAAATATATTGCTAATCGTTGTTAAAGAATCAATTATACGAGAATGATTGCATTAATATACATAATCTAGTAATTATGATAGAATAAATACGACATGAGTTAATAATTTATCTAATACACATATGTACTTGATAAGTGCATATAGCAAACTATCGAAGTTCGGTAAATAGTTTTGAATTATATTCTCGTAATTTTTGTTTGTATAAAGCGAAATGGTTTTAATTGATAAATTTTGTAGCACAATTAGAATCAAAAGCTTTGGTTCATCCAGAATTTTAAATTTTAGTTAAAATTGAAATTATTATTTTAACATGTTTGCTCATAATATTTACCTGGATACGTCAAAAAAATAATTGTTTTGTTTATCTTTGTCAATTGTAATCGCGTGACAGAAATCCAAATAGTCATGCTTGATTAATTGGAAATTGATTAGCGTAGGCAGATATTTATCGTATAATATAATAGGTTATACACTGACTTTAATTTATTTCACCTAAAGTAATAATGCATAAAGCAGGTTCTGACGAATCTTTATCATATCAAAGTCGTGCTGATGATCGATTTTTCGTTATTTCCACTGCAGTACTGCCATTTCTTGCTCAAACAGCCTATCTATTTGATGTTTTTTATTACCATACTCATAGTAATTCCTCAACTGGTTATGAAGGTTTATTATCATCTATTTTAAGTGTATTTTTCTATTTACAATATTGTGTACCACTTCGATCACGTTATGTATGTTTTTTTTATCATTTTTCCTTATGGATATTATCTGAAGTTGGAACAATTGGTCATATAATATTCTATACGAAAAAAAGTGATACATTACATATAGTTCTATATATTTTATGGGGAATAGTAGATTCAATCTATTTTGCATGTCTTATTTATTGTCGTGTATTTTCGAAACATTATGGTCTACGTGTTCATATGCCAATTAAACAAGAACATTTATTTCATTTTATATCACGCTTAGAAGTTATTCTTGCCATATTTATACCAGTATTTTTTGATGCACATCTTATAACATTAACAAGAGATAATATTGCTTTTTATATATTATTTGATTTTTTTGCTGAATCATATAGTCGTTTTGCTGGTGTTAGAATGAAAGCTACACTATATATATTTGTCGTTACGGTAACAGCATCTGTTACAACAGAATGGATACATATTGCCAAACATGAAAAAATATATGATATAGCATCATTAATATGTGAACTTGTTGCTGCTTGTTTTTGTTATTTACTCATTGTGATGCAATTTTTTCCATCGAATTTTATATCCAAAAAGAAACGAAAAGACAAACGATCAAGAAAAACTTCACCAAAATTATCAGTTAACAGTGTACAAAGATCTGACAATCATACTGATGATCAAACTTCTACTGATACTAATTCAGGCAATATTTCGTATTTTTAATAATGTATTTATGTGTTTAAAAAAAGAAAAGAGTTCAAAATATTTTTTCGACTTTCAAAATCACAATTAGAATGAAAAGTTTTGATTCATCGAGAGTTTCAAATTTAAATTATTATTTAACATGTTTGCTCATAATATTTACCTCGATATGTCAAAGAAATGTTTTGTAGGTCTTTGTCAATTGTAATCGCGTGACAGAAATCTAGATAGTTATGCTTGACTAATTTGAAATTGATCAGCGTAGGCATATATTTATCGTACAATATAAAAGGTCATGTACTGACTTTAATTTATCTTTACTTAAAGTAACAATGCGTAGAGGAGATTCCGACGAATCTTTATCGTATCAAAGTCGTGCTGATGATCGATTTTTCGTTATTTCTACTGCAGTACTACCATTTCTTGCTCAAGCAGCCTACATATTTGATGTTTTTTATTACCATACTCATAGTAGTCATGCCTCAACTGGTTACGGAGGTTTATTATCATCTATTTTAAGTGTATTTTTCTATTTACAATATTGTGTACCACTTCGATCACGTTATGTATGTTTTTTTTATCATTGCTCATTATGGATATTATCTGAAGTTGGAACAATTGGTCATGTAATATTCTATACGAAAGAAAGTGGTACATTACATGTAGTTTTATATATTTTATGGGGATTAATCGATTCAATCTATTTTGCATGTCTTATTTATTGTCGTGTATTTTCGAAACATTATGGTCTACGCGTACATATGCCAATTAAACAAGAACATTTGTTTAGTTTTATATCACGTTTGGAACTTATTCTTGCCATATTTATACCAATATTTTTGGATTCACATCATATAAAATTAACAAGAGATAATATTGCTTTTTATATATTATTTGATTTTTTTGCTGAATCATATAGTCGTTTTGCTGGTGTTAGAATGAAAACTATACTATATATATTTGTCGTTACGGTAACAGCATCTGTTACAACAGAATGGATACACATTGCAAAACATGAAAAAATATTTGATATAGCATCATTAATATGTGAACTTGTTGCTGCTTGTTTCTGTTATTCATTAATTGTTATGCAATTTTTTCCATCGAATTTTAAATCCAAAAAAAGACGAAAATGCAAACGATCAAGAAAACTTTTACCAAGATCATCAATTAACACTATACAACTATCTGACAATCATACTGATGATCAAACTTCTACTGATACTAATTCAGAAAATGTTTCGTATTTTTAATAATGTATTGATGTGTTTAGAAAAAAATAGAAAAGAGATTAGAATATTTTTGTTATTATCTATAAAATGTTCGAGAAATTAGATTTCCATAAGAGGAATTTGTCAGGAATGATAGAATGACATTATGATCCTTAGTGTAAAAGTCAGGTACTGATTCGTAATTCAGTAATAAAATAGAAGCTAAGCATCAGATATATTAGCGGTTTCTTTTCTCGGATTTTTCTGATTGATTATACTCGAATAGATTCGATATTTGATTTATTCATCTGGAAATGTATATCTAAGATATTTCAGATAACCTGATGTCAGCAATAAATGAACATTATTCTCAAGTATACTATTGTTTATATTACCATAGATTAGTATCACATGTATTTTATTTTTATCTATAAAAAAAGCATTCAGAACGAAATATATAATAATCAGATTTTTCCTAATGGAGAATATATATATAGAAAACGAATTATTGAGAGAAACATATTTTTTATTATTCTTCATACGTTAAATATTCAGGAGAAATTGAGTGCATATTTTTTTCAGATTGCAGAATATTTATTGTATTGCAGTTAAAACATGAAATAATCCTTCAAAGTATATAGACAAGTATGTGACTTATTTTGAGAAGTATGTGTAGTGAAATTAAATCAAATAGTTATTTCGCCTCTACTTTATATTAAACATATTTATTGAGAAATATTCTATCTTCTTTTGGTATATCTTTAAAAAAATTAGCTGTGTATTAATATTTATTAGATTATGATATGTTTATAGATAAAATTTATTGAGCTTGAAAATTCATGCGCATATGAATTTGTCCGGCTGATCGAAAACCCAGATATTTTGGTAGATCAAGCCATCCATCAACTGCTCCAGTTTCCTTAACACGATCTAATTTAATATTTGTTGAAGCAGCTGGATCATAACTATTTTTACTACCATCATCATCATATACGTTTACATATAAATGATCTTGATCAGGTCCGACAGAACTAAAAATATATAAAAAAAAGGGAAGATAAAAAATTTTGAAAGAATTTCTTAGAAATATTTTACAATTCAAATGTTTCATTCCAAACTGGATTTGTTTCATGTGAAATAGTTTTTGTTCGTTGTTTATTATTCTCATCGAGATAAATTTCAACATACGCATCATCAGAACGATGAAAAGTATCTTTATCTTTAAGTTTCGTTGCTGCAACAATTGTTACTGATAAATTTCCAGCCATAATTAATTAAATACGTAGATAAAAATAAATAATAATAATACTAGTAATCGTTTTTCTTTCCCTTTTTATATTTCAAAAAGAATAGCTTGTTTAATCATGCGAAGCGCATATCACTTAGAAGAAAAATATAGGTATTAATGACAAATAAATACGATTGCATTTATTTTACCTTTATCCTATTCATGATTTAATAAATCATACATATTTTTATGATATTATTATGTTTAGTAAAAATACAGAGTTCGAAATAACAGTTAAAGAGTACTTAACAATTTTTCTATATTTATTATAAATACTCTTTAAGATAAAATTAAATGTTTTTTATATATAAATATACTTTGGATTTGTTATAAATATAGTCATATTAATATTAGTAGTAATCCTATTATGAATCATATATAGATCGATCAAATGATATATTAAAATAAAAACAGTTTGTCTATGTAAACGAACAAATATCTACTTCTAGATTTTAAATATTAGTCAATAGATGAGACGAATATGCTAGTGTTTATGATTATAAATTATTGTTGTGTGTACGACTTCTGTATTTAAATCAATTGAAACGAATATTAATCAGTTAACAATGCTTGTTTTTTCTATTTTCTAAATCAAAATCTTTGATGAATTATGTTTTGTATGTAATTGCGATATGATGATAGTCGTTTATCGTAGAAAAATATGGATATTTCTAATAAATATTAATTTTTTTTTAGAAATTCCAATGATTATTGATAATGCCACATCATCACCAATTATCGTCACCGAATACGATAATGTAACAATGAAATGTCAAGCTCGAGGTCGACCTATACCCTATATAGCATGGTTTCGTCGAGGTGACGATGGAAAAGATCCTAATAATCATACACGATTAGAAAATCAAATTTTAGCAAATAACACTGATGGTTTATTTCATATAATTAATGTTAATCGTTATCAAAATGGACATTATGAATGTCGAGCATCGAATGGTGTCAATGATCATGTTGTCAGTAAAGATATTGAATTACGTATTCTATGTAAGTAATATAGAATTTTTCTTCTTCTTCTTCTTTTTTTCCCGGAAAAATTATCCTTCTATTTTTATTAATATGAAAAGGTTAAATGAGCACTTTGCTTTTAAGTATAGAGTGGATTTGTTTAAATATGTAAATTTTTAAGTATAATTAAAAATATATAGATATATATTCTTTTAAGTAGATAAAAAAACGCGTAGTATAGTGGAGGAGAAGAACTTATATATATTTCAAAAGGGAAGAAAAACTCAACTACGCAATAAATAAGAAAAGGAATTGAGTGTAATTAGAATTCTTTATGATAATATATAATGATCAGTTTCTTTTTTAAGATACATAAGTATATAAATATATAAGTATTTATGTCTGATATTTCTTTGTGCTTTGTTTGAAAAAAAAATCAATTATAATTATTGCCCTTCAATAATAAATGCAATCTCCTGTTTGATAGAAATGACCAGAAGATTTATTGTTATGACGTAGAGAAAATATTGCTTCGTTCAGTCATTTCTTTATCTTCTAACGCAAATTCAGATTATTCACAGATGTTTATATGAAAAGAGAACGATGATGAACAATTGTTCTTGACAGAATAAGAGACGCCAACCATCGGCCGACGGCGCGCAAGATTGCATTTGACCTCAATTATTCTCATTAGCGGTGCATCGTAGCCAACAATAAACAAAAGCATGAGAAAAGAATAGAATGAAGAAGGAGAACTTGACCTATGTCTATTGGCTCCATTGAAGAGGAAGGAGGAGTATATCCGGAAATAGTCGGCGCCGTCATTCACGCTGACCGATTAGAACAACAAAAATAGAAAAGTTCCAGAAAAATCTCTATTGTTTCTAATTTTTTTCTGATGTCATTCATCATGAAATATGAATAATACATGTTCAAAAAACAAAGCATCGTGTTAGATTAAAAGAAAAAGAAAATATTATAACGTCATTCCGAGAAATGTAATTAATATCCATGTACCTTACGTACATACTCCTTTAAAAACGTGTTCAATTGATATAATTCATTTGTTAATAAATGTATCGTTACATTTTAATGTATATTCGTAAAAAAAAATAACTTCATATATACTAATACAGATAAATCATGTACAGAAATTGGTGCATTACATATAAAATGATTTACTTTCGATGATAGTTCCGAAAAATATGAATTTCAATCGGTGCAAATGGTATTTATCTTTTGTTGACCTTAAAAGCAAATATATCATATATCTAAGAATAGATATGACGTATTAAAGGCGTTTTTTTTTGGATTTCACAAAAAGGAATTAGAGATAAATCAACTTAATTACTATCATTGAAAATTATTTCGTGTTTTCATCGTTCTTTCATTATTCTTCTTTGCTTTTTTTTTATTCATTGTTACTACTTCTATAATATCCTTTGCTTGCTGTGTCAACGCCCAATGCCATTGCTATGTTGGAAGAAAAAGTGCGAGTAAGACGAACGCAACACGTAAAAAGAGAGAAAGAATGGAGGAGGGAGAGAGAGCGATAAAAAAAAATAAGAAACAGAGAGAAAGTGCATTGACCAGATAACTATTGCACAGATTCTCTCTCTCTCTCGCTCTTTCTCTCTTTCTTCTTCTTCGCGTATGATTGTTGTGTTGTTGTTCACCATCATCCTCGTCATCACCATCTTTCTCTCTCTCTCTCTCTCTGTTCCTCTCTTTCATTTGTGCTCTCAGTTATTTCTCGCTCAGTCAAAAACACAGATGATCACCAATACCACCTACACGTCTACTACATCGGTCTGCTGACGCCATCAACAAAATAACGAATTCTCGATTTAAATAGTGTCTCTCGTATTTCAAGGAGCAAGATATTTATAGATATATAGTTATATATACATCTATATATATATATATATTTACTTGGTAAATTCCCATTCACGCAAAAAAAAAATCTTCATCGTCTATTAAAATCCCTTATACAACTTCATTTCAAGAAAAGCAAAGAATATGGCATCTTGGTTTTTTATTATCAACGTTCTCCTTCTCTTATCAAGTACCCATTTACAAGCTCGTTTTCGAGCTCATTCAAAACGACGATATGCAATATCTGCTCAATCTTTTCTACCATCATTTCCTCCTAGCAATAATAATTTACATGTTGATGCTGGTGAACGACATGAAACAAATGATGAACAGTCTTGGGTTGAAACAATGAAAGATTTAACAAGTACAACATCAACTCCATCGCAATATCAAGCGAGTGATGAACAAGTTCAACAATTTACACGTCTTTTAATTGATCGTTTAAATTTGAAAGAAGCACCAAATGTAACAGTGAACGTTAATGATGATATAGGTTTACCAGAATCAATTTTAAAACAATTAGGAGAACATCAAGCTGCCACTGACAGTGCAGAGAATAATTACTATCGACAACAGAAAATTCAAGATGAAGTTCAACCAACAGCTGAGCGTGCAATCTTACCTGGTGATTATATATCAAATCATACTTGTCAACACCAACTATCATCAAAATTGAATCTTGATGATAACGACGTCAAAAATATTGATTGTTTTCGTTTTACAAAAGAATCAAAAAGTTTGCCAACGAATCAAGTCATTAATGAATTACGTTTATATGTAAAAAGAAATTATTTTAATTTACATGAACAACATAAAAAACTAACACCAGATATGTTTCAAGTCTATCAAGTATTTCGACCAACATCAAATAATACAGTACATAATCCACCACCTGGTCTTACAGGTACAACACGTTTATCAATAAATGAAGTTAAAGAATTAAATGACAATTGGTTTGAATTAACTCTTGAACCAAATAATGAAGGTACGAATATACAACAACTTTATAAACAACTTATTATGCCTTGGTATGGACTTGCAATCGATCGTGATCTTCAATTATCATCATCGACGCCACGATCATTACAATCTTCTAATCGTTATTATTATCGACAATATCATACAAAAAAACATGACACCTTTTCAAAACGTTCAGACAATGAAGATCAAAACAATAAAGAATCACAACAACAACTTCCATATATGTTAGTTGAATATGGTGACAAACTTTTTCCATCATCATCAGGACGTCGTGGTACACGTGATGCTACTGCACGTCCGGCACGTGGATGTAATCCAACAAGTCCATGTTGTCGAC